ACAGGAAGGAAGACATAAAAAAGATATGAGGGGCCAGGTAAAGCCGCTGCCTGTGGTGCCGGCATCCCATATGGGAGCCGGTTCAAGTCCCGGCTGCTCCACTTCCAATCCAGCTCTCTGTTGTAGCCTGGGAAAGCAGTAGAAGATGGCCCAAGTGCTTGGGCCCCTGCACCTGCCTGGGAGACCTGGAGGAAACTCCTGGCTCTTGGCTTCAGATCAGCCCTTCTCCGGCTGTTGCAGCCAATTGGGGAGTGAACCAGTGGATGGAAGACCTCTCTCTCCTCTCTCTGTATAACTCTGACTTTCAAATAAATAAATCTTTTAAAAAACCACATGAAAGAAGAGACAATTACACAGAGGAAGGAGAAAAAGGAAACAGAAGAGGCTGAAGGGAAAAGAATGTGCCAGCACATAAAAACTCAGGGAAGATACACACATACTACCTTCCCACAGCCAACAGGGGATAAAGATAGGAAAGATGGCAACCAGAGACTACCATAGACACATAGCTTGGGAGAGCCAAAAAGAGAGAGAAGAGGTAAGACTTCACTTCCGCAGCTTTTTGGGTAATCATTAGGAAACTGTCTTTCGCACTCTACTGTTCACTAAGGCTATGTAAGACAATAAATTAATAACACATTTCTGTAATCCTACAATTATCTAAATGACCACAAACAGCTCTTTAGACACTCTAACCTAGGGGTTCTTAGGGCTGCACATTAGAATCATTTGGGGGGGCTGGCGCCGCAGCTCAATAGGCTAATCCTCCGCCTGTGGTGCCAGCACACCAGGTTCTAGTCCCAGTCGGGGCGCCGGATTCTGTCCCGGTTGCCCTCTTCCAGGCCAGCCCTCTGCTGTGGCCAGGGAGTGCAGTGGAGGATGGCCCAGGTGCTTGGGCCCTGCACCCCATGGGAGACCAGGAAAAGCACCTGGCTCCTGGCTCCTGCCATTGGATCAGCGCGGTGCGCCGGCCGCAGCGCGCCGGCCGCGGCGGCCATTGGAGGGTGAACCAACGGCAAAGGAAGACCTTTCTCTCTGTCTCTCTCTCTCTCACTGTCCACTCTGCCTGTCAAAAAAAAAAAAAGAAAAAAAAATAAAACTTATCATTAATAAACATAAAGGGGGAGTAGGAGTATTATCCTCCTCACCCAAAGATATCTTGAACACAGCCCTATACACCATAAATTTTTTAAATCAGAAATCGGATGGCACCACTCCAACCGAACGGCATGCACGTTCCGCTGAGAAGCCAAGTAAAGAATGGGTGATGTGGAAGGATCCACAGGATAATCAATGAAATGCCCGTTCCCGATATTACGACAGGTACGAGGTGCAGTCTGTTTTCTCCCACAGGATGCGACACAACCGGTGTGGACCCCAGAAAGAAGGACAAGGAGATTAGACAAGCCATCAAAGGACGATGCTTACCATCTGGAACAGGACGAGGAGATCGCTGATGCACCACCTCCTCCTGAAGATCCTCCTATCCACCGCAACCAGCAGCTCTGATGAGGGCAACCCCTACTGGGGGCTCCTTTGGGCGCTCCCTTTTCCTCTCCTTTTATCTAACTCTTCCAAGATCCTCCCCTTAATATACTTAGCCAATGCTACTCTTGGTCAGCGCTGCAATGTTCCGGCTGCTGACCTGGTAGCTTCGCCTAACTCTGCTTACGTTAGCCTGAATCTCACCTTATCTCTAGCCTGATCTCTTTGCTTTCAGATAAGCAAGGACAGTATGGATGAGTTCGGGTTTAATCACACCCACCCTTCACCATGCATTTTTTTACTCCCTTTTGTTCTCAGCGATTTTGTGAATGTTTCCCACTCCAACTCTTCATGTCAGAATAATTCCGGCAACGTGGCCTTTTTCTCCTCTAATAGCATTCCACTGCATTGTCTCCACTGCACTTCTAACAAGCCTTTACCTATTGTAGACCCCATCCAGCATTGTAAATCCCCAGTCAACCCTGTACGCCCCGCTTTCTCATCTTGCTTATCTAGCACGGTTCATGCACAGTTAGGTCATGGATTCTTTCTCACTTGCCACGCATTATTCAGGGGCTGGACAGCCCTCAATAATTCAGTCATTACCCGCTTTACTACTACAAATGTGACCTGTTCCAACCCTCATTCCAATAACACCCACATACAGCTGCTCAGTAACAGCATACAGGCTTGGTCCAACCAAAATATGTTTGAAACCGATGAGGATGGTAGTGTGTGGGACCCATTTGTTATGTGTAATGCTGCTGGAGCTTGCACAGATATCACACCCTTACTTTTCCTTAAAGGATTCCATTGGGCTAACGGTACCTTCTGCGGCTCGTACTACCAACCTGCAAACCTAACGTTAAAGTACTATAACACATCCCGTAAAGCTGAAGGCAGGGTCAATTCTCCTGTGTGTCTGAGCATGCCTTTTCTTTGGTATGTTTGTCAAGACATTAATGGGACTTGTTTTTCAGGAAATCTGACTAACTACTGGGATGGGAACCACACAACTGTCGTGGTTCACATTCCAACTTGGGTCCCAGTTCGGGTACTGGTACGCGAACAGGACTTTGCAGTCGCCCTCCGCAACCAGAGAGACTTCAGTGCCACTGCCATCGTTGTAGCCGTTATTGCAGCCTTGTCAGCCGGCGTGGCGGCCATCGGTATGGCGGTCTCTCAGGCTTCCACCCTATCCACACTGGATAACATTACTAAGGACACGGCCGCAGCGCTGGAACATCAACAAGAAAGGGACCTACACCTCTATACCGGCCTCCGAATGCTAAATCAGCGTGTAGATGTTATGCAGGAAGAGCTGGACTTATTGGGGGCTCTTGCGGGTATGCCATGCTTACTTCAATCCGTGTCCACTTGTGTTACTCCGTTTAAAGCAGCAGAATTTTCTCATTTAGCCAATGACTCTAAAGCTTTAGGAAAAATGATAAATACTACTTGGAATAGCAATTTCACTCTGCTGTTAGATGAGCTGTGACGTGATATATTACGGTTAAGGGAAACCTCTCCTTCTGGTACAACTATATGGTCACCTGTTGCAACCCTAGGGTCCTGGTTCAGCAAATCCTGGAACACAGTTAAAGAATGGGTGGCCATCGGGGCCCTGTTTATTGTGGCACTCTTGTTTGGTGATGGGCCACTTCACCTCCTGATCTCCATTATATGCGGCCATAGGCAAATGCAGCTGGTGGTTAAACAAGCCATGTTAGGGATGCACAAACAATACCCCATGACTAACCCCCAAGCTGGAGTGTGGCTTAGCATGTTGGAACGGTAGTCAAAGACGGGTAAGTTCTGGGAGGCATGCCGAGCAACCTAAGACAGGGCGGAGGGGCATGCTCCCCACCGACCCCATGACAGGTACGCTGGTATTGCGCTCCTGGTCGCCTAAGACAGACACGTTTCCATGCCACCAATTTAAAATACAGAAGGGGGAGATGTCAGGGAATAGTCCGCGGCGGCATTGCTAGCCGGAGGTTTTTACTTTCGGTTTTGACTAGGGGCTTTCCTACGGGCGGGGCTCTCCAGAGGTGGAGGGATCGAGGTCACGGTAAATAACAAGATGGCGCCAGGACCCCCGCAGTGAGTCTGCCTGCCTGCCTGCTGCGTGACACCTCACCTGACTGGCCAAAGGATGCGTGCCCTTCACGTGAACAGAGACCGGATTGGTGTGCCTGATGCATGGACTCTAGCTTGCTCCTGATTGGTCGCATTTTGTATATAAGCCACGGGTGTAAGGAGGAAGCTCTCTCTCTCTCTCTCTCCTCTCCTTTCCTCCTTCCTCTCTACCTCTGTCATGTTTACTTTCTCTAATAAAAAGTCTACTGAAGACCGATAAGCGTCGTTTGTTCTTTTCTCGCTTGAGAAACCGTCGTCGTGGGCCCTGGGTTGAGTCTGCTGGCCAGACTCCCTGAGACGCTCGTGGCAGTGTGTATGTGTTTCTATTGAGTTTTCTGCTGAATGTATGAGAGTCCTATGGATTTGATTTCTGGATCATATAATAAGATTATGCTTCACTTTGTAAGGGACGGCTATATTGCCTACCAAAAAGTCTGTTCCATTTATGAATGAGAATTCCTACTGGTCTGCATCCTCCTCATCATTTGTAATTGTCAGTTGGTATTTTTTTTTCCATTCTTGGATATGTATAAGAGTATCATGGCATTGTTCAATTTGCTATTTCCTAAGACATATGATATTAAATGTCTTTTCATATGTTCATTTGTCGACTGTCTTTCTTTTTTGGTTTAGTGTCTATTCACACCTTTTGCCCATTTTCTGGTTGAAATACTGATTTTCTTATTGAAAATTGGAGTCTAAGAGGCATTTGTGTATGTTAGGTACAGAATACTATTAGGTATGTCTTTCAAAGGCTATCAATTTTATTTTCATAACCTGAACAATGCATTGATCAGAAAATGTTTTAATTTTAATAAATCACAACCTATCAACTATTCCTCTTGAGGCTCTCTTTTTTGTTTGTATAAATATCTAAACACTCATCGTTTAATCTCAGCTACTTAACTTGTCTTCTTTTATAACATCTGGAAGCTCTATAGCATTATAGTTTATATGTGAGTTCGACATCCATTGTTAGTTACTGTTTGTGAAAGATGTATGGTATATTATCTAGAGCATTGCTTTATGTGTGCGTGTGTGGTGTGCACATCCAGTTGCTCTGGTATAATGTGTTGAAAATATCGCTCTTTATTGAATGACACTGCTTGTTTTCCAAGGAACTTGGACTTGCGTGTGTGTATTTTGAGGCTTTCCATTCTTTTCCAGTAATTAATTTGTTCCTTCTTCAGCACTGTCACACTTCCACAATCACTCCAGCTTCATAATAAGTAAGGGTAGAATAGTGTTGGTCCCCTATTTGTTCTTTTCCAGTATTGTGTGGGATGTTCCCATAGTCCATTTTCTCTTACCCTCTTTTCTCTCCCTTTTCTCTTACTGCAGCACATAACACTAGGAAGTCGTCCCCAACCTGGATTTGTAAATCTGGTCTCCTTTTCCCCAACCAGCCATAAAATATAAAAATAGTATTTCAAGTCTCCCACACATTGATGTGTAAGAGATAGCCGTAAGGAAATTCTCTAACCTACCTCATCTGATAATAAACCACAAGACTCATTCCAGAAGTGTCCGACTGTACCTGGGAATAGGAACGCTGCAAAGACAAGCACAACACAAACTGACAGGCTTTCCTGAGTTTCCCCACTCAGCCCATGAGCATCAGCTCATACACGTTTGTGTCCGGTCATATCTCCACATAATTGTCCATTCTTCACCAGATGGTAGCATAATAATGGATACTTTTCCCTAGATTTATGGCTCCTCATTGCTGATGCTTCCTGTGTCAAATAAAACTTTGATTAAATATAATTGCTATGCATTTTTCTTGTTACCCTGTATTTTTATAATAGCATCAGCTGTTATCCTTGTGATAGAGGAAAGCTATTACTTCTGTATGTCCCTGCAGCATATTAATCTCTTCCATTTTGAATTTTTTACTTTTTATAAAATTTCACAATTTACATAATATGTAAGTGTAGTTTCATTATGATTTCTTTCTTAAGAAAATATTGTTGCTGCCCAGCGCTTCACCTCACTAGGCTAATCCTATGCCTGCGGCACTGGCACTCTGGGTTCTAGTCCCAGTTGGGGCACTGGATTCTGTCCCCGTTGCTCCTCTTCCAGTCCAGCTCACTGCTGTGACCCGGGAGTGCAGTGGAGGATGGCCCAAGTGCTTGGGCCCTGCACCTGCATGGGAGACCAGGAGGAAGCACCTGGCTCCTGGCTTCGGATCTGTGCAGCGCGCCGGCCGCAGTGGCCATTTGGGGGTGAACCAAAGGAAGGAAGATCTTCTGTCTCTCTCTCTCACTGTCTAACTCTGCCTGTCAAAAAAAAAAAAAAAAGAAAAGAAAAAAAGAAAATATTGTTGCTTTTTAAACAAGCATAGCAACTTTTTTAGGTGTTAAATATTTCACATAGCATATCATGCTTGTAAGAATTCAAGAAGCTGTGTGAAATGTTATGGGGACTGCACTACGAGTGGTGTTTTCTAAAGTTGCAGTTGCCAATTGCTTATGTTTTCTATATCCATCTTCTTCCTCTTCTTTTCTCTTTATTACATGCTTTAAGTTGTTCTCCAACTTCTTAAATAACTTATTTTTTAACTAAAATAGTAGTTTAAATTAGATTATTATTAACATAGTATTAATGGTTTTAGTTGAAACAAACTTCAGCACAGAAACTGAAGTATGTTATCATTTTCTCAGTCATAATCTACTGTTGGTAATCCTGAAAATGTGATGTTAAAATTTTAGAGAGGAGAAGCATTTTATAACTTAATAATAACCTTGGTTTGTTAAGTGCGTCTGAATCCCTGGAACATTAGATGTGTTTCTTAGCCTATTGTTTCTGTGCATTTCTGAAAGTCTAGTGTTACACCATTCTCTCCAGGTCTGATGTCATTCTGATATAGTAGCTTGCCTTGAGCACAGAACCTTGCCATTGGGAATGCTCTTTCTTAGTTTTATTCATTTTTTTTTTGACAGGCAGAGTGGACAGTGAGAGAGAGACAGAGAGAAAGGTCTTCCTTTTCCGTTGGTTCACCCTCCAATGGCCACTGTGGCCGGCGCACCACACTGATCTGAAGCCAGGAGCCAGGTGTTTCTCCTGGTCTCCCATGTGGGTGCAGGGCCCAGGCACTTGGGCCATCCTCCACTGCACTCCCGGGCCACAGCAGAGAGCTGGCCTGGAAGAGGAGCAACTGGGGCAGAATCAGGTGCCCCAACCGGGACTAGAACCCTGTGTGCTGGCGCCGCAGGCGGAGGATTAGCCTATTGAGCTGCGGTGCCAGCCCTTTTTGTTAATATCATTTTAAACTGAAACATGTTAAATATACAAATTTAAGGAGTACAATGTGTTGCATACATTGCACAATAATGCAATTAGGGTAATTAACATATTCATCATCACAAACACTTCTACTCACTTTTACCTATACAAACCAAATGAGGTATTACTCTCTCATGCCTCTTAAAATGGCTGTCCTAAAAAAAAAAAAAAAGAAAGAAAAAAAAAGAAAAGAAAGAAAGAAAGAAAACAAAAAAACTGTTGGTGGAATGTAATTTACTAAAGCTGTAATGCAAAACAATATGGAGTTTCTTCAGAAATCTGAAAGTAAGACTACCATATGACCTAGAAATTCCTTTACTGGTTATATAGGCAAAAGAAAAGAAATTGGTATGCGGAAGAGATATCTGCACTCCCATTGTTATCACAGCACCATTCACAATAGCCAGGATAAAGAATTGTCCAAGGAACGATAAATGGGTAAAAAAAAAATTGTGTTGTGCATACACACACAATGGAATTCAACCTGAAAAAGAAAAATTTCTGTCACTTGTGAAAACATGAATGAACCTGTAGGACATTATGCTAAGTAAAATAAGCCAGGTGCAAAAAGATGAACCCCTCATAATCTCACTCATATCTGGAATTTCAAAATTTGACTTCACAGAAGTACAGAATAGTATATTGCCAGAGGCTAGACAGGATAGGAAAACAGAAAGGACAGAAAGAGGTTATCAAAGAGCTCAAAGTTAAAATTACTGAGGAGGAATCAGTATTATTGTCCTATTGTACAGTAAGGTAACCATAGTAAATAATAGAGTATTTCAAAATAACTAGAAGACTGGTTCTCAGTAAGGTTTTATATGCTTATTTTACTGTTTTTCCTGCTGGAGGCACATTTTTTTCCCCTTCAGTCTCAAATGTACACATTTGGGAAGCACCTGGTCCATCCATTAGTTCAATATCCAAATACCCACAACAACCAGGGCTGGGCCAGGACAAAGCCAGGAGCAAGGAACCACATCTAGTCTGACCTGTGGGTGTCAGGGATGCAACTGCTTGAGCCATCATCTGCTGTTTTCCAAGGTGTGCACTATCAGAAAACTGAATGGGAAGTGGAGTAGCCAGTACGCAAGCGAGGCACTATGATGTGGACGCAGGTGTCTAAAGCAGTGCATTAACCCATGTACCAAACACTGTCCCCTGGCTCCTGGCCTCTGGGAAATTTTAATGCTAAAATAACTCCATACTCAGCCTCTAGAAGTTTGAAAATTGCAACTTACATTTAAGTGTTTCTATATTCCTGTATCCATGCTTTTGCTCAAGATAAAATGAAATGTGATTCTTTGTATTCAGTTTCTTGCAGTTTATTCTGCAACCTCAATCAGTTGATGAACCTCAGAAAATCAATTATATTTGGATTGTTTAGTTTTTGATTTTGAGGGCAAAAATGATGACTTCCACCCTCTTCATTTGTTGGAGTAGATACCAGTAATCTCTAAGTTATCTGAAGATTGTTTTTACCCTTACTATAGAACTTAAGCACGGGAATAAAGTTAATTTTCCAAGTTACATCGTCTTTATTATAAATCCTACCTGCCAACTCCATGCTCCTTTATTGGTGATATCTTAAATTTATGCATGTGCTATCAAATAAAATTTATATATCTGTAACTTTTACTGAAATATGTATAATTAGATATTTGTAATGTAATATATAAATCATTGTGCTTTTAGTTTTCTTTTTATTATTACATATTACAATATGAAGTGAGAGAGCTGATTTGCTGCTAAATGTATTGTTTATGAGCAAATAAAAATTCAGAAAATATATTACATATATTCAGTTTTATTACGTCAAAATCTTTTGAGCAGATTTGTATTGATTTTCTCTGGAAATTTATTTTACAGACAACCTAAAATATGCTTAGCTTTATGTACATCTATGGTGAGTCATTAATCAAATAATTTTATGCACCTCAATATAATCAACATGAAGTTATAAACAAAAATAATACTTTCGGCAAAGCCAACTTTACTGGTTTTCAAGTACTGTAATCCATAAGGGAGAATCAAATATTTATCATTTTAAGTGCACTCCAAATCAAGATGTGCTTTTACATCATTTATCTTTATGCACATTGATAAAGGCACTTCATTCATTATGCTTCAGAGGATATTGCTTTTAAATTTAGCTTCCTATGTTTGTTTTATTTCTATGGACACTAATCAATTTCACACCTTGTGCTGAGTAAGACTGACCGATTACAGATGATACTTTTGACGAATATGTACTTTAAAGTAAAATAATTCAAAACTACCAGTTTATTTTTAAACAACTCGGCAGCTTTCAGAATATGGCAGAATACTATCATTCTATAAAGCTAACACTGCCGGTGCCGCAGCTCACTAGGCTAATCCCTCGCCTGTGGCGCCAGCACCCTGATTTCTAG